CTCCCCGCTTACTTGACGCCGTGGATGGTGAAGGGCAGGCTGCGGTGCACCAGCTCGGCCAGCTGAGGTCCGTCCTTGGCCGCCATGCTACCTGATGAACTCCCAGTTGGCTGCTAACAGAACAATCGGGGTTGTGGTGTCGATCAAGCCTCCCGGGGGAGGCTGAGCGTGCAGCGTGGTGCTTTGAGCTCCGAGTTTGTGCGAGGGCGTCCACGATTGTTGGCAGCGGGATGCTCAAGGAAGATGGGGCAGCAGCAGGGGATGCCCTGAAAGCGGATTTGACGCAGGCGCCAGCGCGATGCGCTTCGTTGACCAGCGCCGCGTTTGACCGCCAGCGAGGCGCCCAACAGCATCGAAGCGTATGGTGTTTACAGTGCTCGATGTGGACCATACTGCTGAATAAATGAAATTGGAGGCACGGGTCACAGCTCATCCTTGCGCTGCCACTCGTCGTTGCCGCCAAACAGCTCGCGCAGGTGGAGGGGCGGCTGGAGGGCCGTGAGGCATGCCCTGGGCACACGCGCTCTTGACCACACACATGCCCAGCAGGCCCCGCTGCCGCAGCCGCTGCACCAACACCATCCACCTGCGCCAGCCGCCGCCGCGGCCCCGCAGCGCGGCACCCCCACCTTCTTGTGCTGCTGCGACTCCCAAAAGGGGCGGAAGGCCTCCACAATGGCCCGCGCCTCGCCCGCCCGCCCCTCCTCGCCATCCAGCCACGTGTCAACCCACAGCATGGAGCGGCGCGGGGCGCCCACGGCGGGCAGCTCCTCGCCCCAGTGCATGTCGGGCCCCGCGTAGATCGAGAAGCAGATGACCTTGCCGTGGCAGCAGGGGGAGTGGGAGCTGCGGGGCGGCGGGTGGAGGGGTGCGGCGGCTGGGAGGGGGAGGGGTGGGGCAGGCGAGGCGGCGCAGCCAGAGCACCCGGCAAGGGACTGCCACCGCCACTCCACCCCGGGCCCGCCGCCCTCCCACCCGGTCGCCCAGCGGGCCACCCTGCCAGCCAGGGCCGCCACCCACCCACCCCACCCCACCCACCTGACATCAATATCCATGACCTCTGTGTCGCAGGCAAACACAGAGCCGTCGGGCATGGACATGAGCTGCCTGGCCGCTGCCTGCGCCGCCGCCAGCGTGTTCACCACATGCACGTCGGGCGGCGGTTCGTTTCGGAACGCCGCCGCAATCGCCTCCTCGCTGACCTCCGCCGCCTCGCCGCCGCCGCCGACCGCCTGCTGCTGCTGCTCGGCCGGCGGCGGCGCCGCCGCTGCTGCCTGCCGGGCTGCAGGGGGGGTGTGAGCCGCTGCGTACAGGCCCGCGCCGTCCCCTGCCGTGCTCGGCTGCTGGGGCCGCAGAAGCGGCGCCTGCTGCGCTGCTGCGGTGGGTGAGGCGGCGGCGCCCCAGCTGCTGGCGCTGTTGCCAAAGCTGCTGCTGCTGCTACTGCTGCCATTGGTGCTGCTAGATTCCGAAAAGCTCGCTGCTGGCAGCGGCGCGTGCTGTTGCGCAGCCGCTGCCCCGGCGACGGCAAACGCATGCGGCACGGCGGGCCCCACCACCGCGCCCTTCAGCCGCTGCACTGTCTGCTGCTGCCACCGCTGCTGCGACGCTCTCGCCTGGAGCTGCAGGCTGGGCGTGTCGTCCCCGGCAGAGATGCGGCGCACCGCCTCATCATGCACCTTGTTGAGTCGGCTGCGATGCGCCCGCTCGGCCGCCTTGGTCGACTTGGGATAGGCCTGGAGGCCAGGCACGCCGCTGCAGGACACAAACGCCATGCTTTGCGGAGTCAGAAGCAGGACATCGGCCATGGTGCGATGGGCAGGGAGAAGCAGCAGCAGAGACTGTGATTAGGCAGCGGCGGTGGAGGCGGCAAGATGGCCCCGCCGCTGCAGGGCGCCCACCTGCGTGCGTCGGTGAAGGACGCCTGAGCGACAATTGAGCGCAATCTCGACAGTCCCCGCCGCCTCATTCGGCTACTGGAGCACTGCTGCGGCAGGAGGGCGGTGCCACTGCTACCATGTAGCGGCAGGGTGCTAGAAGCCCTGTGGTGTGCTGACTTGGATGTGTGGGGTTGGTGGGAGCCTTGAACAGACGTAGACATGCTGCTGGGGAGCCCTCAGCGAGGCCCCGCCATGCAGCTCAGTCGACAGCAGCGCAAAACCTACAGGCTCAGCTGCCGCAGGCCTGTGGGCGAAACACGGAGAAGCAGGGACGCTCCGCACTCCAGGGAGCGCATTGCAGTACGTTCAGTACTGACTGCACAAAAAGCCGGCCCACACGGTCGCTGATGGCTTTTCCCGATGCTCAGATCTACTGCCCTGCATGCTCTCCTTATTCTCCTGGGCGGTCTGGGAGGGGTGCTTGGGAAGCCCGGGCTGATCGAGCTCACGGCAGACACCTTTGAGTCCACCTTCAAAGCGCTGCCGGAGGACAGATGGGTGCTGGCCGAATTCTATGCCCATTGGTGAGCCCGCCTGTCTGCCCTCCCCCCGCCGCCGCTCTTCCCGCCTGGCGCTGCGGCTCGACGCTTAGGCCTGGTGCACCCTGCTGCAGGTGCCCAGCATGCCAGCGCTTCCAGCCCGAGTACGAGAAGGTGGCGGCATACTTTGCGGAGCGCGGCGAGCAGGAGCCGGTCATCACGGTGGCCCGCCTGGACTGCGCCAGCCACGTGAGGGCGGCGGCAGCTGTGCTGTGCAGCCGTGAAGGCCTGCTGCCCCCATGCTGGCAGGCAGGCAGAATGGTGCTGCTGCGGCAGATCCCTGGGCATATAGCCAGCCACCTACTGCCTCGTCGTTGCCATGTGTTTGGCCTGTCCCGACCGCCGTCCTTCCGCTCCTCCTCCCACGGCCTCGTCACCCTCCATGCAGGGCGACATGTGCAGCAAGTTCAAGGTGACCGGCTACCCCACCATGAAGCTGGGCAGCGCTGCTGACCTGGCGGCGCTGGCGCTGGACAAGCTGACGGACGTGCGGGCCGCCTCGCGCCATGCCGACTCGGTCATTGCCTGGCTGGCCAAGCACCTGGATGTGTAAGTGGCTGGCTGGCGCGGCGTGGCGTGGCTTGCAGAGGGGGCCTGGCGTGAGGCTCACATGCAGGGGCATGCCAGCAGGCTGAAGTGAGCTGCACGCGGGCCAGGGTTGGCCACAACAGGGTAGGTGGCTCGCACGCTGCAGCACCCTTCCGATGAAGCAACACAACCGGCCCTCCCCGCCCGCCTGCAGCAAGTTTGACGCCACATCTGGCGCCGGCAGCGGCAGCGGCAGCGGCGGCGGCGGTGGCGGCGACGACAGCAGCAGCAGCGGCGATAGTGGCAGCGGCGGCGGGGCCGCCGCCTCTGGCAAGCTCAGCCTGGGGCGCCGCGGCGGCGCCCGGCAAGAGCCGTTGGAGCTACCCGGCCAAGCTGCGGCTGCCGGCGCTGCTGGCGCCGCAGGAGCGGCGCAGGCTGGCGGTGGTGGTGGTGGCGGTACTGGTGGTGTGGACCTGGTTGATGTGGAGGGCGCCACGATCAAGTCCTGGCAGTACATTGTGGCGTCCCCGCTGCTGCTCAAGGGCCCCGAGGCGCGGCAGGGGCTCAAGGACTGGGTGGACCTGCTGGCGGACAGCCACCCGGTGGACAGGTGGGTGGCCTGCAGCCTGTGAGGGGCTGGAAGGAGGGCTGGGCGCTGTGCCGGCATGGGCTGGCTTCAGGCGGGCATAGGGGTTGGGCGGGCCCCTTCATGTGCTGAGCACCGAGCCAAGGGCCAAGCCAGCCGTCTGCATGCTCATTTCCAACCTTGGTTGCATGCTCCGCTTGCTCTGTGTACCTGCCCGCCGTTCATACCCTCGCATGCGCTGTTTCCGCGCAGGTGCGCCGCGGGGGCGGAGCGGCTGCAGGAAGCCCTGGATGAGCTGTGGCCCGACGACCAGGACCAGCCCAGCAAGGGGCTGGGAGACCTCCAAATCTGCCCCGGCACCACCTTCAAGGTGAGGCGTGGGGTGCAGGAACTGCTGGGCAGGGGAGAGGAGCAGGGCTGGCCATGCTGCACCTACCCCCAACCCTGTCCTACCCTGCCCCGCCCCGCCCCGCGCCCCACCTGCAGGACTGGCGGGGCTGCCGCGCCTCCTCCCCCGACCGCCGCGGATACACCTGCGGCCTGTGGCAGCTCTTCCACTCGCTGGCCAGCCGGCTGCCCGAGACAGAGAACGCAGGGGCGGTGTGGCTGGCGGCGGTCAAGGGCTTTGTGGGCAGCTACTTCCAGTGCAGCGAGTGCGCCAAGCACTTCATGGCGCACGCCGCGCGCGAGGAGGCGCTGGCTGTGGCCACCAAGCGCGACGCCGTACTGTGGATGTGGCACACACACAACATTGTGAGCGGGCACCTGCGCCCGCACCTCTCCGCCACCTGCGCAGGCGGGCGTGATGCTGCCCGTGGGGCCGGCCGGTTGCTGGCCCACCGTCCCCCCTGCCTCACCCACGCCTCCACACCCCCCAGCACCAGCTGGCAGCGCCGGCGCCGGGGTCACCGCTGCGCTTGCCCCCTGGCCGTGTGTGCAGGTCAACCGGCGGCTGGCTGGCGAGGACAAGGCCGGCGACGGGGCGCCACATGTGCAGTTCCCGCCCGCCGCGCTGTGCCCCAAGTGCAGGAGGGCGGACGGCCAGGGCGCGGCGCACGACGAGGCGGTGCCTTGGGACGAGGATGAGGTGTACGCTTTCCTCCTCTCCCACTACAGCGGCCGGGCGCAGGAGGCGGGCGGCGGCGGCCTGGGCCTGCGCGCGCGGCACTCGGGGTGGGGCGACGCGGCGCTGGTGGTGGGGCTGGTGGCGGGGTGCGTGTACACCGCGCTGCGCCGATCCGCGCAGTACGCGCTGCGCAAGTCGGAGTCGCGCAACCTGTGATGGCGGGCAGCCGGGTCACGGCGGCGCCTGCCGGCTGCCTGCGGCCGCACCCCGAGCGCCCGCCCCTCCCCGCACACTGAGGACCAACCAACCACCCAACTTGTGATCGCACTGTGTAACCAGCATTGATTCAGAAGGATCCACGTATATGGCCGGTGAAGACAGCTCAGCCCGGGCGCGGCAATGCCGTGGAAGGGGGTTCTACAAACGGGCGGCGCGTCCCGACGGGGCCGCCGCGCCCGCCTCACGCGGGAGGGAAGGCGCCCAGGCGCTGCACGTGCGCCAGCACCGCCGGCAGGCCCTGCGCCTGGAAGGCCTCGTGTGCCAGGCGGAAGCCGTCGCCGTAGCTGCGGGCGGCAGCCAGCAGGGGGCAGCATTCAGGGGTGAGGGAGGGGGCTTGGAAGCTAGAGGATGCAGTCGGCAGGCAGGCGCAGCTCCGATGCAGTCGGCAGGCAGGCGCAGCTCCCGGACCAAAACAGCACAGCAGGCAGGCAGGGTGCGCGGTGTTGTGGCGTCCCCTGCCGGCCGCCAGCCGCTCACATGGCAGACGTGTCGCTGCGGATCTGGTGGGCGAAGAAGGCCGCCAGCCGCTCCTCATACTCATCCTGGAACCCCGTCTGCAGGCAGGAGGGACACAGGTGGTACCTGTCTAGCATCGCAGAGGCACTGCACGGCGTGGCCGAGGCGGCAGCGGGTGCGGGGAGGTGGGCAGCGGGCAGCGCAGGGCAGCTGTGCCGTGCGTGGGTGCACGGGCCAGGCGGCCTGGAGCGCGCCTGTGCCTGCTGGCCTTCCAGCCACAGGTAGGCCATCAGCTGGCACAGCCCCTCCTCCACCTGCTCCGGCAGGTGCTGGTGGGAGGAGCAGCCGCTCATGCGCAGCCAGGCGTGCATGCACTCGTGCGCCAGGATGCTGCCCGTCAGCAGGCGGGGCAGGCCGTACAGCACCTGCGGGGACGCACATGTGCGGTGGCGGGGTGGCACGGCCCCAGCAGGCGTGTGTGGCACTGGAGGCCCCGCCCCGTCCAACCCATGCCACGCCGCAGCGGTGTGGCACCTCCCCACAGGGCCGCACCCCCCCGCCGCCAGGCTCACCAGGATGCCAGTGACCTCGCAGTGCGTGGGCCCCACGCGCACCGCCTCGCGCTGGATGGCAAAGGGGTTGCCGCCCGGGATCCTCAGGATGGAGCGGATCAGGCTGTACTCCTCTGTCAGCGTCAGCCCTGCAGCGCCACACGCCCACACACACACGCGCCACACGATGTCGGTGAGCCGAGCCGTCGGCCGCCGTGGCGTGGTCTCAGTGGAGCTGGGGAGTGGATGGGCGGATGGCGCCCATCCAGCCCGCCGGCGCATCACGATGCGTAGGGGCTGGTCGAGGCATGCCGGCACCCAGCCATCCAGCTGCCCAGCCCAGCCCAGCCCAGCCCCAGCCCACCTCTGACGTGGAAGACGGGCCCCGCGCCGCGCCCCTTGCCCCGCGTCTCCTGCCCCTCCGCCTCGTTCAGCGCCCCGCTGTCCACCAGCATCATGGGCGGCACCACAGGCAGCGGCATGCCCATGCCGACGTAGAAGCTGCGGCAGGGGCGGGCCCACAACAGCGCTGTGAGCTACGAGGCACGGGGGCAGGGGTCGATGCCAGCCTGGCAGGCTGGGGCAGGCTGGGGCAGGTTGGGGCAGGTTGGGGCAGACTGGGGCCCAGCAGTCAGCGCCGGCCCCACCGCCGCCCCGCACGCCCACCTGAGCACGTTGTGCCACAGCGGCTGCGCGTCGCGTGTGTCTGTGGTGATGGTTCCCAGGCAGGGCAGGCACACCTGGCGCCCGTCCTCCAGCTCAGCCCAGGTGTCGGCCTGGGCGTGGGGCCGCAGGCGCTCGCACGAGGCGCAGCGCGGCGTGCCGTCGTGGATGTGGTGCGGGCAGAAGCGCTGCCGCCAAAAGGCCACCTCTGACCACACGATGCGGCGGTGGGCCTGCGGGGCAGGGCGGCAGGCGGGCAGGGGAGGCTGGGAGGCATGCCCAGGCGCGGCGCTGCGGCTGTGCGGCGGGCTGCTGCTCCGCTGCCTTCCACCCCTGCAGGAGACGCCAGCGGCTGCGTGCCGGCCCCCGCAGCTCTCCGCGCTGCTCCCCACACCGCCACCCGCGCACCTCCTCCGGGCAGTAGTCGCCGCACACGTCGCACTTGGGGTGGAACTTGGCTCGGTGGCAGTCCAGGTGGTACAGCCGACCCTCCCGCTCACAAAACGGCACCCCGCCGCGGTCGCCGATGGGGCGGTGGCACCCGGCACACACCAGGCAGCCCAGATGCCAGTTCCTGCCCAGGGCAGAGATGTGGGGGCTGCGCGCGCCCAGCATGCCAAACAGAGAGCCGCCGCAGCCGCCGCAGCGCCGGCGGTCGTACTGCGCTGCTGCCGGCGCCGCTGCCGGCGCCGGTGACAGTGCCGCTGGCGCTGCTGCCGGTGCCGGGCTTGCAGGAGGGGCAGCTGCTGCGGAGGGTGGGGCGCCAGCAGGGGGCCTGCCGGCTGCTGCTGCTGCTGCAGCCGTGGTGGCTGCCAGGTTGGCCCCCAACGGTCCTGTGGCTACTGGCGCAGCTGGCTGCTGCCGCTGCTGCTGCCGCTGCTCCTGGTGCTGCTGCTGCTGCCACAGCTGCTGCTCTTCCAGATCGAACTGTCGCTGCAGCGCCAGCGCCAGAGCCTCGTCCTCAGACAGCTGCTGCTGGGGAGGCTGCCAGCTGGGGCTGCGATGGTCAGGGTGCGGGGCAGGGGCAGGCGTATGTGCCGGCGCGTGGTGCGCCCGAGCGGGCTGCTGATATGCCTGCGGCTGCTGGTGGGGGTGGTACGCTGGCGGGGGCTGGTAGTATGGCTGCTGCTGCTGCTGCTGCTGCTGCGGGTCGACAACGCGCTTCAGCCCCTGCCACAGCTGCGAGCTGCCGCTGCTGATGCGCTGCACGGCGCCCGACGACGCCTGCCGGATGCTGTCAGCCAGCTTGCCGCCCCCTCGCCCGCCCAAGGCACCCACACCCGCACTGGTGCTGCCACCGGCGCTGCTCGCAGCCGCCACGCCGGCGCCGGCGCCGGCAGGAGTGGCTGCTGGGGACGGCGTGGGCGCAGGCGCTCCCTGGCCTTGCTGCCGCCGCGCTGCCTCGGCATACTCAGCCTCCTGCACCCAGCAGCCCCCATGCGTCAGCCCATCAGCTAGCTCATCAGCAGCACGCGTAGCACTGCACCAGGTGCGGTGCATAAGGCAGCACCAGCCTGTTCCGCAGCAAGGGCCAGGCAGCGAGGCGCAGGGTGGCAGCCTGCCTGCAGCTCCCGGGCCAGGCGCTCATCATGCTCGGCCGCCGCCGCGCTGCCCTTCGCAAGCGCCGCATCCTCGCTGCTCAGCGCCAGCGCGATCTGCAGCTGCTCCTCCTCATCAAGCTGAAGGGAGTGCACGCTGGAGGTGCGGGCGTGGGCGGGCGCCGCCATTCTGCGCCCAGCAATGCTGGTGTGGGTGCCACAGGGCCGCCGCCAGGAGACCCAACGTCGGTGACGTCTGGCGGCGTCTGGCGGCAGGCGGCGCCCAGCTGGGCTTGCCACCGGCGCACCTCACTGCTGCACTCTCCTTTCCGATCGGCGAAGCTGCTGCCGGCAGGGAGGACCCTCTGGCTTTGGGAAACGTCGACCGATCGTGGAGGCACCGAGCGGGGTGCAGCCCTGTCCTTCCCAACCCTCCCTGTCAAGTTTTCTGATCCATGCAAAGGCCACTGGCATTGATACGCCATGAAAGGGGTTGCATGTCGGTGCCAACTGAGCACTGAGCTGGACAGCGAGGTTGCTTTTGCCTGCAAGCATTCCAATTTCTTGCTAAAATACACTGATCGCCATGGCAGCCCCGTTGTGCAGAGTGTGAGCCGCATAGCTACCGCAGTGTCCGCAACTCGCTCCGGCTGGCCCCTGCGCTGCTACTCACGACCTGGGGGACCGTGATGTAGAGATGCGGCACGCAGCAGCGCCGCAGGAACCCCACTGACGCCGCCGCCAACCCGCCCCGCTGTTGGCTGCCGCTGCCGCAGGTGCCGCCAGCACACGGCAGGGTACACGTGCCCGCGCTGCAACGCCCGCTACTGCTCCCTGGACTGCTACAGGCAGCACTCGGACCGGTGCACGGAAGGCTTTTACAGGTGCGCAGCAGTGCCGCAGGCCGCTGTTGCCTGCCGTGAGCAACCCTCCACACTTCCTGCCTGGCCTCCTGTGTCCAACACCCGTGCCTCTCGTCTGCCTGCCCGCCTCGGTCCCCACCGCAGGGATTCCGCGGTGTCGGAGCTGCGCAGCATCAGTGCAGGCGAGGATGAGCGGCAGCGCATGCTGGAAATCCTGCAGCGCATGCACCAGCAGGAGCTGGGCGGCGGCGGCAGCGGCGCCAGCAGCGGCGACGAGGGCGGCGAGGAGAGCGAGGAGGAGGGCGGGCTGTCGGCCCAGACGCTGCACCGCCTGCTGGCCAAGGTGCGTGCCTGATGCCGGGCCTTGCAAGCGGGCCGTGGCGGCTGGCTGCCCCTGCCAGCTGGCACACGCGTGGCGGTCGCGCGATCCACCTGGCTGGCTTGGAGGGCCTGCTGCCAGCATTGCTCTGCTGCGGGCCTGCCCGCCGCAGATGGAGGCGGCTGGGGGCGTGCTGGATGTGGGCGCCGACGACCTGAGCCCCGCTGAGCTGGCGGCCTTCCACCGCGCGCTGGCGGCGGGCGAGCTGAGCGGCACGGTGCAGCCCTGGCAGCCCTGGTGGCTGTCTGAGGCGGCGGCGGGCTTGGAGCTGGGTGCGCGGGGCACGCCGCTGATGACGGCGGTGGGGGAGGGCGAGACGGGGCAGCAAGGTGGCGACGGGGGCGCCCCGCAGCAGCGACAAGCGGGGGGCAGCAGCGCGGCAGGCGCCGCGCCTCTGGCAGCAGCAGCAGCGCCTGGGGCGGCAGGTGGTGGCGGCGGGCTGCCCGAGCCGCCCAGCCGCGCGCTGCCGCCGCTGGCGGCGCTGACCAAGGCGGCGCCGTCACCGCTGCTGCAGTACCAGCTGCTGGATCTGCTGTACGCGTACTGCCTCACCCTCAGGCTGTACAATGGCGACTACCAGTGCGAGGCGGAGGCGGCGGCAGGCCTGCTGTTTGGCATGTCAGCGGTGCTGGCAGCCGTGGCCCCCTCGCCTGGCGGCGGCGGCGGCGAGGGCGATGCCGCCGCCGTGCCGTCAGTGCTGCTGGGCTGCCTGCAGCGCGCTTGCCAGCCGCCAGCGGGCAGCCAGGACAGCAGGGGCTTTGCCATCGGGGTGCTTTCGGATGTTGCGGCGGTGCTGCAGCTGGGGCGGGCGGTGGTGCTGACGGCGGTCATGGACCTGTCGCGGGTGCTGGAGGCGGCGCGGCAGCAGCTGGAGGGGGCAGCACCTGATGCCAGTGGCAGCGGCGGTTCGCCGAGCAAGCAGGTGCGTGTGTGTGTGTGGAGCAGCATGGCAGGCATTGCGGCAGCAGCCTGCCAGCCTGATTGCTGCGTGTGTGTTCCCCTCCCCCCGGTGGGTGCTGAGCGTGCTCGCTCCTCGTTGCCCCTGCAGCAGCGGAAGGAGCTGCGCAGGCGCCTGGTGGCTGCCGAGCGCAAGCTGCTCTTCTTCCTGGCATGGGCCAACGAGCAGCCCCCTGAAGTGTATGACCTGCTAGCGCTGGCTGTAGCGGCAGAGCACCGGCAGCATGCGGCAGCAGCAGCAGCGGCCGGAGGCAGCCCTGATATACAAGTGACAGGATCCCAGCCCGGGGCTGGCAGCAGCAAAGGCGACGGCGCCAGCAGCGGCGGCGGCGCGCCAGCGGCGCCTCGGGCTGTTCTGATTGAGGAGCTCTGATGCTGCTGCCGCTCGCGTAGCAGGCGTGCATGCACCGGCCCGTCCTAAACTCTCGGAGGCAGATGAATTGTAGGATGCCTTACAAACGTCCGGAAAAACAAAATGAAGTGTGCTGCCTGTCCATACAGCCGCCTACTGGCTGACCACCACATACTCGGCGGGAGGTGCAGGTGGCGCCGGGTACTCGGCAGGCCCGTGCCGCCTGTCGGAGCCCTTCTTCTTTGGCCGCCGGTGGTTCATCTTCTTGGCGCCCTTGAACTCTGCGGCCAGCAGGGTGCCGAACGGCACAGCGAGGCACGGAAACTCAACACAACGTTGGCGCTACTCAACACGCACGGGCGCCGCACAAGCGTCGGCCGCCGCAGCCGGCACCGCTCTCGCAACGGCTGCCCGCGAGGCAGCGCGCCTCCATGAAGCAGCTGCATTGTGCGCTATGTCCTCGCTGGGCGCTGCGCTGCCCGAGTTGGCTGGCAGCAGGAATGGCTGAGGGGCATGCAAGAGTTGGGCAGCATCCGCTTACGGGGCTTGGTGGAGCACGTGGTCACCTCGCGCCTGCTGCCTGCCAGCGTTCCCGCGCCGCTGCTGCAAGGGAGCGCCACAAACATCACGATATCGCACGCCGTCTCCACGGGACCTCGGCCCAGGCCTCCAGACTCAACGAAAACCCACAATGTGGCACAACGCAGGTGCAAGGGGCCGCACGGCCATCACTGGCGCCGAGTACCGCCTGCCGCCCATGTACCTCGGTGCTGCGCCGTGATGCTAGTGTCTGGAGCTTCCTCCTGTTACAGGTTGCCTTCCGTCTCAAACCCCACATTCAATGCCAGGGCCTGTCAGCGGCGCCGTCAGGGTCCAGCCTGCCCTGCTCGCTGCTGCCTGCATCAAGGGTCGGCGCGCCACTCGCTGCCGGCCGCGCCGGCACTGGCTGCTGCCTGCCTGGCAGCATCTGGTGCTCCAGCGCCGCCCACGGGTTCTCTAGCATGGAGGGGTTGAAGAAGGCCTCAATGCCCTGGCCGCCGCTGCCGCTGCTGCCGCCGCCTCGGCCGCCGCCCCGGCCCCTGCCGCCCCGGCCTGCTTGGGGCACAATTGACAGGGACAAACAAAGAAGATACGTCAAGTCAGAGCATGCTAGCCACACAGTGTCTTCCACGGTCACTGCTGACCTCTCCTGCCTCTTGGCACTGCCACACAACCAAAGCCGCCAGCTGTGCTGGCCCGTCCCCAGCCGGGCACACCCTCCGCAACTGCCCACCCAACTGCCCTACATGCAGTTCACCTCCGCCCGGCTGCTTTCGTCCACGCCCACCACCCCGACTTTTCCCGCCACCACCACAAAACTGCTGCATGTATGCAGCCTGCTGCTGCTGCATGGGCGGGTCCTGGAGGCCTGGCGGCGGCGGCGGGCCTCCGAAGAACGATGCGGGCGGTGGTGGCACATGTGATGGAGGCGGTGGCTAAGGTGGCAGGGCCCCGCCAGGCCCGGCCCGCTGGTAAGGCGGGGGCGGGCGCTGCTGCTGCTGCTGTGGTAACCCGGGTATGGGGGGTGGGGGCGGCTGGCCGCAAGCCGGCCGCGGTTGGCTTGGCAGGGGCCCCTGGGCCTAAGCTGGGGGCGGCGGCGGGCCGGCAAGTTGGGCCCCGCCTGCCTTGGCCGCCTCTTGCGCCGCGGACGCTACGTCATTGCGGCGCTGCTGCTGCGCCTCTCGCGAGCGCTGCATGGCGCCCACTGGGTCGCTGCAAGCCAGCGAGCGGGCGGCGAGGCAGGTGAGGCAGCAGCAGGAGGTGAGATGCAACAAAGCCGAGGTGTGCAGCCGGCGGCCCATGCCTCAACAAGCCCATGGCGGCACGGTCCACTGAATGCCAGTCTTCTATCGAGCTGCTGCAAAGTCAGCGCCCCCGTGGAGCCTGCCTGGGGAAAGATTGCCTCATACAATTAATGGTATGAGGTTATGACAGCTCGGCCCACCTGTAGAAGCTGCATGGCCCCGAGCTGGCGGGCCCTTTGCCCTCGTCGGCAAATGGGTTGGCCAGGGCCCCCGCGCCGCCGCCCGCCCCTCCTCCACCTTCTGCGTCTGCAGCCGACTGGCTGAGGGCCTTCAAGCGCTTGCGGCGGTCGTCAGAGTTCTCCATCGGCGGCAGCGGCGGAAGGGCGGCGGTGGTGGCACCGGCAGTGGCACAGAGGCCGTTGGTGCGCGCCTACTGCCGTCGCTGGACACTGACACGCTGCAGGGCCTTGTTCCTACGAAGCCTTGGGTGGCTGTGGCGGGTGATGGCACAGCTTGTGGCTTCCTTCTGATGGATCTGTGCAGATTGGACCCGTCTCTGCAATGTGAACATGCGTGCACGGCGCCAGGAGGCCGCAATTCGCTGCCACGGTGCCTCCCCTTTCTAATGCTTCTGGCGCCATTTCTGCGCTCTGGTGGCCCTACCTTCGGCCATCTCATCCGCATTGCGGTCTTCTGGGCGTTGCAGCGATGCCCACATCGTGGGCGGAGGCTTTGGCTGCCGCCGTGTCCAAACAAGGCCTGCAAGTCGAGGAGATAAAGAAGCTCGAGCTGGACCATAGTTGCAGGACGAGCGCAGTAGAGGTGTGCGGTAGACCGCCGTAACCGCACGCCCGAACCCCACAGCAGCGGCGGCGGCGGCGGGACGCAGTGCCGGGTAGCTCCCGTCGCCCAAGGCGGATCTGGTCCTGGTCGGTGTGCCAGACGAGTTGGAGGAGGGCCATACAGCAGCCTGATGCACCCCACCACCTCGTTGATTGCAGGGGCTGGACGCATACACCAGCCTCGAGAAGCTCTCTTTGGCGAGCCTGGGCCTCAAGTCGCTGGCCGGCCTTCCACCGCAGCTCACCTGCCTTCAGGTCAACGATAACAACCTCATAGGCGCGGCCCTCACCGCCCTCACGAGCCTGTCCAAGCTGCGCCGCCTTGATCTCGCTGGTGGGTAGAACAGAGTTCCTTGGTGATCACCACATGAACACGCCGCCGTGCTCTGCGGCCCCATTCCCTGCCGCGACACCACTAGATTCGCTTGCGGGCCACATTGGCGGCATAGGCTCTAACCACGGTGTGCCTTGCATCCGGATGGCTCCCACACTCCCACACTGGCTTTTTTCTACGGCGGCTGCTCGTACTTCACTCGCCGGCCGCCGCCCGTAGTGCTGGCGGAGGGCAAGCCCCTCGCTGGCTTCCCCCGCCCGATCTCCGCCGCGCGACACATCCCATCGGTCCCCGCGCCTTTCCCCGCATCCAACTCTGCCGCAGGCAACAGGATTGCGACCTGCAAACAGCTTGAGCCCTTGAAGGCCCTCAAGCACCTTCACTCTCTTGACTTGGAGGGCTGCCCGCTCGCAGACATGCCGGAATACCGCGCTCACGTCTTTGAGGAGCTGCCATCACTGACGAGTGTGGACGAGCATAATAAGAACGGTGCGGGAAGCTGGCATCGGCTGCCGGCTGGCGACTGGGGATTGCAGCGCGCCGCCGGCACCCTGCACGGGGGAGCAGGGCAGGCCAGGGGCCCGACAGCTGGCCGGCCTCGCCGCCCGCCGTTCAAACCCATCCCTTCCCTGTGCCGCTCCCCACTGCAGATGAGGTGGTAGAGGCAGAGGACTCCGAGGTGGAGGTGGGTCTAGCTGATCTGTTTGCCTAGGCAGCGGCGTGCGGCAGGGGCGAGACGGTTGTTCGCGCTGCGGTCGCCTGCACTTTCCCGCACCACTGCCCTGGCCACGCGGGAGACCCCCAGCCTGTTTGGCCGGCTGAATGCAGGAGGAGGAGGAGGAGGAGGACGAGTACGAGGTGGGTGCGCCCAAGACGGCAGCCTAGGGAGCATGCGTAGCTTTGTTAGGGCCACTGTGTGGGGATACTATCTGCAGATCGACGCCCGCCGTTGCATTCTCCATGCGCACTTGCCTGACTGCTGGTGCCCCGTGGAATGTGCTGCAGGAGGAGGAGGACGAGGAGGACGGCGACGACGGCGAGGTGTGCAGAGCGCACAGCATCGGCCTTCCTCCATGCCTGGCGGCAGCAGCCTGTGCATCAGCCGGCAGTGCATCACTCGTCCGCTGCACGGCTTGGAGTGCAGATGCGTGGTGCTAGCCGCAGCTGCCTGACCCCTCCCTTGTTTGTCCACCTACAGGGCGAGGAGGGTGGCGAGGCCCCAGGTGCAGGCGGCGGTGGCGAGGCTGGCGGCGACGAGGAGGTGAGTAACTTTGCTGGTCTGGGTCTGCCACCATTGCCCCTGTCTGCAACACATCAACGGTGCGCAGCGTGCACTGGCCTGCTTGCACTGCACATTGACGTCTGTCCTGCGCTTCCGCTCCATGTGCTGCAGGATGATGATGTGAGTGGCGGCCGGGGCAGGCGGCCGCGGTCCCATTCCCCAGCCTGCCGCCTGTCTGGGGCCTTGCGCGGGTGCTGCGCATGGCGCGGGTCAGCTGACTGTTCCATCTGGCTGCCTGCAGGATGAGGGTGACGATGAGGACGATGGCGGTGAGGAGGAGGAGTACGATGGCGAGGTGCGGGGCGTGGGGCGGGACGGGCTTGGGATGCATCGCAGGGCCGCAGGGCAGGATGCCGTGCATGGCGCACTGGGAGCTGTTTACGCGGGCAAACTGGCAGCGGGGGAGCGCTGAGCGCGGCATGCCCCTACCTTATAAGTCTGCAGGGCGAGGAGGGCGAGGAGGGCAAGCAGTCGCCCACCACGGCAGCGCTGCTCAAGGTGTGGTGTGGCTGCTTGCAACGGAACACCGGCTGCGCCATGCCGTGCCGCTGCCTGCATGTACGCCCTACATCCCTTGGTGCAGCAGAAGCTGGGTTTGCTGTTTCCCAGGCCTTGCACCCGTGGCTCAAATGCTGCACATGTGGCTGCGCCGGTGTGCAGGAGGACCTGTCGGATGACGAGGAGGATTACGAAGTAAGCTGGGTGGCAGCTGGGTTGAGCACACTGATTTCTGTGTTGAATGTGCGACGCTTTGACTGTGTCACTCGTTCGCCTGCCTTTGGCCAACCAGTAGCACGCTGTCGCCGGTGGTGTGTGCAGGAGGAGGAGGAGGTCGATGATGAGGAGGTGAGGGCGAGCTGCGCTGACAGCTGCCGCCCCCGCCCAAGCTGCTGCTGTCTGCGTTTGTGCACCTGGCGGCACTCCCTATCCAAAATTGTTTCCTTGCCTGGCAAGCCAACCAGCACAAGGTGGTGAAGCTTGAGCGCTGCCTGGCCCGCTGTCCGCCTGTGGCCCATACTGCTGCAGCTGCAAGCTGACGTCGAGGAGCTCGTTCCCAAGAAGCGGAAGCGGGATGAGAGCGACGAGGGTGTGCACCAGCCTGCTTGGCCCAGCTGTTGCCCACCTGCGCCGCCGACAGCTTCTGCTCACTGGCGCTCCTGCTGCCTCCCCCTGCCTGCCGTGAAGACTATGAGTCTGAGGAGGAGGAGGAGGAGGATGAGTCGGAGGACGACGAATGAAGCAGGAACGGCATGCAGCGCGAGTTGCTGCACCCTTAGGCAGCCAGCCAGCCGCGCGGCAGCAGGCCGCCTTTGTCTCCACCACACCTCGCGGCACCCCTGTTTGGCCGCATACGTGACTGTGCGGCCCAGCGCTGGCGCCCCAACACTGCCCCAGCCAGATTGCACACCTGCAGGCCAGCCCCGCAGCCCATCTTTCTCTCACCTCACTCAGGCAAGCAGGTCGGAGGCGCCCAGTTGCCCAACATACAGCAATGTTTCCTTCTCGCCGCCCCTCTTCTGCGCATCCCGCCAGCACCTGTATTCAGTTGTACACCACACCCTTCCACGCACACACAGTACGCATGTGACCCGGGAGGACGTGTGTGCCGCCCTTTTTGACGGGACTTCGCCTGCTTATTATCTGTTCCCTCCTCAGCTGTTGCCTGCGCTGTTGTTGTGCTTTTGCCCCAAGAAATGGCATTCCTTCCTCCTCCTCCCCACCTTCTCGTTCCCTGTGACTGGAAAGGGTTTGTGTGTTGCAGAGTTCAGGCTAGGATGGGGGGTTTCCGGGGTCCGTACAGGAATAAGGAATGGCAGTGCATGGTCAACGGTACACACGAAATGGGGCGACGGGTTGGGGAATGTGCGGCAGGGGCAGCCGCATGGAGGGTTGTGGGCCAGCGCAAATGAAAGTGGGGGGAGGCGGAGGCGCTCTCGGCTGCGCACGACCAGTGGTAGTATACATATGCAGCCGGTGTGCATGGCGGCCGGCATAGAGCGTGCCAATTCGCCTCAAAAGAAGCACTACGAAATGGAACCGGCTAGGGAGTCCTCTCAGAAAAGAAGAAGGGGGAGGCAATAGGAAAAGGGGAGGCGAGCCCGCAGCCGTGACTGCTGGGGCGCGCCGACAGGTTGGTGCGAGGTCATTTCTTGTCGCTGCTGCTGCTGCTGCTGCCTGCATGCTGCGTGGTGCGCGGGCAGCGCGGCGCTTCAGCCCTCCAGCACCACCTTGGCGGCCAGGAAGACCACCACCCAGAAGGCGCCCAGCACCGCAATCTTGGAGGCGCCCGACCGGATCTTGCTGGCCATGGTGTCCAGCAGCACCTGGGCGCCCGCCACGGTACCAATCACGCCCGTCAGGAAGATGGCGGCCTGCGCAGGGGCGCGCGCGGGCAGAGGAGGGTGTGAGAGGGAGGGCGGGTGCGAGCCGTGTGCTGCTGCGTACACGTACGCAGAGCCAGGCCAACCCTGCCCGGGCCAGCCCCACCAGTGCCGTGCTGTGCCCATCCTCTATACGCGTGCTCACCGTGAGGAACACCTTCGTCTTCTCGTCCAGGCCCAGGCTGGCGGTGGCGTTGATGGCGGGCGCGCCGTTCTCCACCACGCTCACCCCCACCTCCTCAATGGTGGACAGCAGCAGGCCGCCGCCGGTGGCCGCCAGCCCCAGCACAAACGCGGTGATCAGCGGGCTGCTCTGCTTGGTGCCCTGGCCGTTGGGGGCGATGGGCACGTCGCCCTTCTCCTTGAACACGCTCAGGCCCAGCTCGCCGCCCGCAAAGCCGCCGGTCAGCTCGTTGCGGGTGGGGTACCTGTGGGGCAGGAGCGGCGGGACGGCAGGTGAGGCCGGGCGCTGGTGCACAGGCCGGGCACTCGTGCGGGGCTGGGCGGGCGCATGCTGGGTGCGCGCCCATGCGGGAGTGCGACCAGCATCGCTTGGCGGGCGTGCGCCTCACTTGCTGGCGTCGTCCTTGATCACGCGTCCGTTGCCCAGGTAGATGGTGTCGCTGCCCTTGGCAATGGGCTGCGGCGCGCGCACGGGCTTGGCCTCCTTCTTGGGGGCGCCGTTGAGCTCCACCTCGCGCTGGTAGGCCGCCACAAACTCCTTGAGCCCCTTCTCGCCGCCGGCCCAGCCGCCTGCAGGGCAGGTGCGCGGGGAGCGGCCGCGTGGTGAGCCCCAAGTGGCGGCGGGGGGGCGCGCTCCTGCTGTACCTGCCTGCTGCCTGCAGACACACACAGCTGCCGCCAGCTAGGGCAGGCGGGCAGGCGGCTGGGAGGCCTCACCAGAATACTCATCGCG